ATACGAGGTTCAGGGAAAAGCATAAAAGGATAAAGCATTTGCCGTTGATCAATCCCTTTTTGGGATGCGGCACGCATTCTACTTCCATTTGTACATTCGCAGTGGCATTTGAATGCGATGTGGCCTATACAATGACTTGCGGGGGCCAGCCGATGTACAAGTCAGTGTTTTTATCCTCCCAGACAAGTCTGGTACCAATTAACCGACCCCGGAGGGATGGAAGGCTTGGTTGGCCCGGGCGACTCACGACCCAGGATTTGATCCCCGGACCGCTCGCGTGGTAAGCGCGCCACTTGTCACTACACCACTTCCGCCCATAGGGAGGGTGGGGAACGGTATTCCAGCTGAGCTCCTGTAGCCTGGACTGCGTGATCTTTGCGACGTGAGGCCAAGCGTAGTCATGCAGAAGATGTACAGAAACCGTTCTCGGTCGCTTTTCTTCGATTGCATAAGCGTAGTTACCTGCAAGCTGGCGGACTGCTTGAATGGGTTAGCTGTGAGTGCATGACCTTGAGCGGTAGCAATAATGCGTATAGAATCCCTTGGCAGTCCAGAAGCATGCACAGCAAAACCTTCTTTGGGAGTGCGGTTTCCGGCTCGGGACGCCACGGGGCTGGATCTCTCCTTTTGCCGGCACAACCAAACAGCCGACCCTCCATGCTGTTGTGCCTAGAGAAACCAAGCTCCATCCAACGTCAACCAAGATCCCAGTTCGCGAACCTGTAACTTTGTTCGACTGTGAAGTGGTAGGGATTGTAATGGGTTTACGCACACCTGGACTATAGAATTGTAGCAGGACTTTAACGTCATCTGTAGTGCCGAAATTCAATTTGGGATGTCATTTGGATGTTTGTTGACAGCAATAGCAATAGTAAGGATGTTTGTTGACAACAATAGGCATGTGTGGGGTATTCAAGAAGAACGCTTCGATTCAAGGTATAAGATGTAGAAATCGAGGAATTTGTCTCACGATCACTAGGCAATGACTTTATTATCTGGTTTCATACTTATGCCTTGCTGTGATTTCATCGACTCGTAGGGTTATCGACGAAGTATTAGGTTGGTGCAAAAGTCTTGAGACACTCGGATGCGTGTTTCGAAATTTTTTACAATTCTAACTCAATAAACTATATAATCACCATCATTATCTATGACATTCGTCCAACGAGCAGGCAAGTCGGCTATTCCCT